AGTAGCTCTAACCTCACAGTGTGTCACAACACCACCAGTGTATAAAAACACCCTTGTGTAAATCTCCCTGTACACACAACACCTGACTTCTGTTCCTCCAAACACTTTGAGGCCCCACTCTGCCTCTTTTGTCCCCTCAATGACTATGCAAGGCCTGGCCTGGTGTGGACCCAGCTGTGGTCCAGGTGTGGTCCCTGACAGCCAGGGACCAGCTGTGCTCCCCAGCTGCCCCCCAGGTGAGCTGCTGAGCTGTTTGCTGGCTGCCTGTGACTCTGAGGAGAAGGAGCAGAGCTCTGGGGTGAGCAGGGACGTGGCTCTCTCCCTTGCACACAGCAGAGTGGTGGCAGTGAGCTGCAGCAGCTGGGAGAGGAGGAGATGCTGGCAGCAGCTTCACAGCACACAGGCATGAGGAAGCGAGGAGATCATGTGTGCCAGGGACCAAGACATCTTCTACAGCCTCATGGACCTCTGACTGATGGATTTACTAAACTTGTCCTTGACTTTATACAATAATGTATTCTTAGAGACTCTCATCTTATTTAGTATTGTTGATACTGGTCTGAAAGAGATTATACCTCCAAAATGGCACTCTGTGTTGTTGGTTTGGGTCATGTGGAAAGGAAATAAATAATGGAATGCTGAGTGAATTTACATAATTTGTTGGTATCCTGTGATAGAAATATAAAAGAGATAATATATATATATATGTATGTATATGTATATGTATATGTATATGTATATGTATATGTATATAAAAGAGATAATATAATTATCTCTTTTTTTCTAATACTTGTTGCAAATTTAGACATACCAATAGTTTGGTGTGAGGATGCTGTTATTCCTGGAGATGATTATTTTTGAGAAAAAACTTCTTCCATTCAGCAACAAAGACAATAAAATACTGTACTGTCATTTTTTTCTTTTCCTGTGTCTGTGTATGTGTGCACAGGGGGATGTGAGGGAGAGTGAGAGAAAGGGGAAAGCCTTACAAGCAGTGGTTGCTTATGTCAGCAAATAGGGAGAACTTGCTTGGACTCAGCTTTTTACAAGCATGTGCCAGCTATTTAATAAATGGCATATCCATTGTAATGCTCAGATAATAACAACAATAAAGAAGTCTTTACATCTGGTAAACAATTTCTAAGCTGACTAATATGATGAGCCTTGGGTTGGCAAGCAGTAGGGGTTTAGGCAATAGGCTGAGAGAGTCCCTGGTATTTGTGAAGTCCCACAGTTCACTCCTATAGCTCCAAGATTTCCTTAACTGTCATCTCTCCCTTAGCCACAGGCAATTTTATACCGAGTTTTTGGCACTAGGAGCTGCTACTTATTTGCTGCAGTCATATTCCTCAGCTGCTGAGCAGTATTATCAGCTTATGTGGTTCATGTATGGAAATGTTACACCTTGGTTGGTCTCAGCAGGCCCATTTTTCTTGCACAGATTTATGGCACTTTCTAGCAAGTTGATATGCCTGCTCAGAGCCGAAACAAATTCCCGGTGAGCCTGAGTCAAGAAGAGGAGGATTTATTGTTTTTCAGCCTGAGTGCACACGTGTGCCCAGAGGCAGCCAGCATGGGTCACAGCCAGGGAAGTGCCCAAGGGCTGGGGCTGGCCCAGGTGGGTCCTGCTGCTGCTCCTGCCCCTTTGTAGGGGGGGAAGATCCCATCCATGCAGTGTCCGAGCTTCAGCCCCACCTGCACAAAGCTGGCAGCTGTCCTTCACTGCAGGGCACCTGGTGCAAAGGTGACTGCATGGAGCATCACATTGGAAGCTGCCACTGGGCCAGGAGTGCAGGCAGCTACTGCTGGTTGTGGGTGGGTGGGTTTGGAAGCATTTGTGCTCCATGCAGCATTCCAGGTACTGTGCCTGCTACGTGTACCCAGCCCAGCAAGGCCAGGGATGCTCTGCTGCAGGCACCACCATGGAGTCAATCACACACCCTGGCAGCTTTCAGACTTTTCATCCTGCACACCTTTGCTTTCCCTCTTTTTCCCCATCCTAGTTGAAAAGGTGATTTTACCACTCAGCTTAGCTGCCCCCCTCCCTGGTTTCTCCTGCCCCACCAGTGCAGCAGAGCAGAGCTGCCCACACAGCCCCGTGGGCTGGCAGGGTGTGCTGGGCTCCCAAAATGCAGCAGCAAGCCCAGGGCTGGGCTGGGCTGGGCAGCACTCCCTGGCTGAGCAGAGGTGAGCAGGGGCTGTGCAGCAGGGGAGCAGCATGTGCTGCCCTGAGCTGTGTCTGATACCAGGCTGGGCACTGGGGAGCAGAGGAGACCTGTGGCCTTGTTCAGAAGGGAACTTCCAACCCCTCAGTGTTCCTGACATGGCTAGCAGGGCCTCAGGATTATCTATCATTATCTATCTATCTATCTGTCTATCTATCTATCTATCCATCCATCCATCCATCCATCCATCCATCCATCCATCCATTGAAAAGGCAAAGCACGGACTGTGAAGTCAAGGAGTAAATAAATGGCAGCACACTAACAAGAGACAAAAATGAAAGAGAACTAATTTTCCCCTCTGCCCAGACAGCAAAGACATACTGACCAGTCCTTAAGGAGGGTATTTTGCTGAACATACCTAAGGAAAACATTCCTAAGAGCCACTCAGGAACACCAGGTCTGATTGATGGGATGTCAGGAGTTGTAAATCATGGGGTCACAGGTGTGGGGGAAATGAGTGGAGCCATCCTCCCTCTTGCTTAATTGAATTCAGCAGTCACCATGGGGGAATGCTGTGCTCTGTGGAGTGCACAGACTTTACGGAAGACTTCAGTACAGCACATGCTGATTGACTGATGTAGGAGTGAATCAGAGTAACACGAGTCTGGGAGAGTGGATGTGGGATGTGTATTTATTTCCTCAAGTGAATGAAATGAGGAAATTCCCACCTTCTCCTTCACTGTATTATTGAAATCATAGGCAAACATATGCTGGCTTTGCCTTTGTATTTTATTATTTTTCACCACATTATTTCTACCACCAAAAGGTAGCTCAAAGGCAGCATTGTGACACAGCTGAGTGGAGTCTGGGTATCAAAGCCTACACATTTCCTAGATAAGGGAGATGTGTGATCAGCCTCTCTGATGGGAACACGCACTTCCCAAAGCCCCAAAGAGGGTTTTCCTAACATTATGCCTGGTGGCAAGGAGATACCAAGTGTCGGACTGAATCAATCTGGTCTGAAGGTCCTGTCAGGGGTGGGGTAAGAGGTGTGGGGCTGGAAAACCCCCAAAAGCTTGGGGAGCACAGGAGGCCAACAACAACCCCAAACCCGGGAGAGCTGAGGCACTGAGGTGATGCCAGCAGGGAGTTTGGCCAGTGAAGTTTGGCAAGGATTGCTGGGGGGATGTGCTGGGTGAGTGCTGAATGGCACAAAAACTCCTGCACCTTTTATATAACATAATTGCGTGCTTTATTGATATACACAGTAAAGCAGTATATAATACAATAGTAAGGCATATATTTGGTGAAATTTGGTATGTTGTGAAAAAATGCAGTAAAACAGAAGTTTATAAAAATAATTAGTAAATGTTACAGTGTTGGTGTTAAAACACAATAGATTATGATATCCAAGTAATAAACCAGTACTGAGTAACGATGAAATAACATGCCATATGGTATTTATGTATTCAACTACACTGATTATGTTTTACAGTTTAATACTTTGTCATTATAAGGAATATGAAATAATTCCCAAATTATGCTTAAAAAAGCAGCAATAAAGCTTTCAACTTTTTAAATACTTTTTGACAGACTCACTCCAAAACTAAGATCTAGAAAGTAAAACAAACAAAACAAAACCCTGATGAAAACAATCGTGCAATCTCTTTTTCCTCCGTAATTTTTCTGAAGAGAAGGTTTAATGTATAGGGGGGAAAAAAAGAAGAAACCCATCTCTTTCTCAAATCACAATTTAAACCTTCTGATAAAAAAGGACATGAGAAATAGTGAGGGTTCCTATTGTAATCAAGTGTTAAAAAGCTCTTTATTAGGAAAGCAGAGGTTTGGGGGGGATTGTACTTTTTTCTGTAAATGATTAACGTTGTTATTACTGAAACAATGAGACCTGGTCACACAATGGACACGTGGTGATGATGTAACATTGTCATACGTAATTGTCAGGAACACCACAAAACCAAAGTGAGGTAGAAATAGCATGACTAGCCATGTTCAATGTTAACTAGCATTCAAAATAAAATCTTTCCCAAGTTTAATTACACTTCATACAAGAAGAGGTAACAGATTTTTTTTTTACTCTTGCAATATAAAGTCAGATGGTTGTGTTTCTATGTATTTTATGGTAAAATTAAAAGCTGGTTAAGAAAATGAAGTGGTAAAGCTTTTGCTGACAGCACCTCATACCCAAACCTCTCTCTCACAGAGCTGCAGTCAAGCTGGCTAATCTGTTTCTCTATCAGCTCCTCTCTTTCTCACGTTATTGTTAATTGTGCAGGGATTACTTGTACAGAGAACCGGGGAAGGAGAAAGGACCAGGGCCTTTGTTTTGGTGATAAATATTCATGGGGCAGTGTGACTACCTTCACCTGATCACCATTTGAGGCAGGAACAGCAGTAACTCTTGCACAGCCTTTCCCAAAGGTGGCTTGCAGCACCACAGCTCCCTGGGACCGGCTGCTGCAGCAGGATGAGACAGGACTCTGGGAAGCTCTGGGCTCCTCTTCCAGAGGGACGAGGATCTCCGTGCTCATCACCAGCACTGGGGCTGCACAGAGCTCTCTGGGTACCCTACTTGTGCTTTGGGTCAGAAGCCAACCCCACAGGGGCTGGGGAGCATCTCCCTCTCTTCTCTCCTCTGCAGCAAAGGTGACAACGGGGGAGAGCTGTCCCCAGCCCTGCTGAGCCCCAGGGTTCAAACCAGTAAGGCAATGTCTATGTTCCTTTACTAAAAGTATCCAGGAATTTAGTCAGCAGAGGAAACACTAGCAGGTTAACTTCTTTCCTTTCCTTTTTTCTTCTGAGATTTTTCTTTTTTAATTGTTTTTTTTTTTTTGCAGGCTCTGTCATAAAATGTGCTCTTTCATTTAATTATTGCAAACTAGCTGTGTAATTGCTAGCTGCTGTCCAAAACCAGGACAGTAAGTCATGTAATTCTTAATTTTATTGGAAAGATAAAATGTAACTACCTTTATTGGAAGTTCAGGTTTTTTGGTTATTTTTTCCTAAGCCAGCCCTAGTCAGACAAAACCAATGAGAAATGTAAGGTGGCCATTCTGATATCACTGCAGGAAATATTTCCTTTTTTTTTCTTTTTGATAGGCAAGGAAAAGAACACAGGACATGAATCTCTCTGATACTGTTACAGAGCTGAAATGAAACTAAACAAATGCACTGCCTCAGTATATTTTTTTATGTTTTTTTTTTAAGGGGGTTTCTATAAACAATTATTTTTATAAAGCACACTTTAGTTTACAATCTTTCATTATAACTGTTATAAATTTTTTTTAAACAACCCGAAATGCGTTCCATATAAAGAAATGGCAAGTTATTTAGCTATCAAGATTTTACATGTAGTTCTCTTATAATTTTTGTACAATTGCATAGACGTGTAAAACCTGCCATTGTTAACAAAACAGTAACAGACTTAGGAAACTACTGAAATCTACAGTATAGTACCACTACCCTTCACAAAAATATAGATTTGTTTTCTTGTAAACTCTTACAGTCTAATCCTCTTTGTAGTATGAATATTATAAAAACCATGCGGAACGCCTGAAGTTGTAAAACACATCTCGCTATTCTAACACCTTGTCGTCGGTCATCACGGTCACTAAGGTTTCCATCGCTCTGCCCAGGTCGTCTGCCATGTGGAAAAGGCTCCCTACATTGTGGCCTGAAAGAGAAAGTCAAAGAGGAAGTTAAACAAACAGGATGTGGCAGCATATGGACAGGAAAACTTCCCAGATCTGTCGTTTTCCACGTGCTGCTCTCCATCATCTCCAGAGAAGACTTCCAGAAGTCTCCTGGAGGAGTCCAACAGGTTCTCATTAGCAAAAGCTGCCAGGTTTTTGCAACATTTTAACAGATATGGAAAACCACCCTGCAAATAAGCCATCTCCCCCCTGGTGATGGAGCTTCATCATTATCAATGTTCACCAAAGCAACAATTAAGTCCATTGACATCACAGAAGAATTTCTGACTGATGCTGCAAGTGTTTGAGTATCCAATGTTCTATCAAGGAGAAAAAGAGAAACAAACAGATCAGCAGTAATTAACTAAATCATTAAAGCCAAGAGGTCTCAGCAGGATACCTGCAAAGATAGATATAATGATGACCAAACTAAGCAACTCAGTTCATTCAATCATTTTTAAATATCCTTTCCTTTTTGAACAGCAGTCCAGCACAAAGATGCCACAATCATCAGCTAACTACTATGCAGGGGTTCACTTGTGCATTTCCCTTCACCCATAACCACTCTGAAGTCCTAAGATGGTATAACCACAACGTCCTACACAGAAGTGATGAATAAACACACAGTGCAATTCTGGAGATGAAACCTGCAACTTCTCACACTCATGTCACCAGGGCAGCAAATGGTGATGTGTGGTAAGAAATGGCTTCATCACAATTAGAGACCAAATAAACTCAAGGATGGGGGGACTGAATTGCCAAAAGTTGCCATTTTAGCCACTGGCACACCTTGTCAGGTCTCCCACTGCTGTTCAGAAAAGTGTCGCTCTCCTGCAAGTCCTGTGTGAGATTTCAGAGCTCTATGACTGTCTCAAATACCCTCTGGCACCTCAAATGACAGAGACATCATGGTTTAAACAGCTGAACCTTATCTGGAGTCTCCCTCCTGAAAAATATGACTGAAGAGGGAACAATACTGAGACCTAGGCACCCTACAAGATAGGGATCCAAACCAAGGACTGAGTGAGTGTTCAAGATTTCTTGCAAGGACAAGGAGGAATGAGCAGACAGAAGGTCTTAAACCAAGCAGAAGGAAATTATACTCCACAGAGCACATAATTGTATTACTGAACTCATCACCACGGGCTGATGTTGAGGCCAAACACATAAATGAGTTAAAAGAGGAGTTAGAAAATAACCACTGAAGAAAGATTTATTTAGATGCAAAAAAGTGCACGTGACCTCCAACTCAAGAAGTCTCCACACTGCAGAGTGCCAGCTACTGAACATGTATAAGTGAAGTATTACTCAAACTGCATGTCATCCTGGCCTGAGGGAGTTTGATTTACTCTCTAGGAACACTTGTGATAGAATATTTGTCTGGAAAAACACAGGAAGTGCAATGCCATGTGCCCACAACTCTGGTTCTCAGAAATGCTTTGCATTAGTCTGGATGCTGAGTCCTCAGCATGGTCCTTGAGGAAGGAGCACCCAAAGGAGGGAAGGACATGACCAGGACATCCAGGACACACCCTTCATGCAGTCCCTGCCTGTAATGTGCTGGAGCCTGACTGACCATTGCACATCTGCACAGTGGCTTCCCCTCCTGACACAACTGCAACAGGAATGAACCTTCCCTGTGGGGAAAATCAGACTCACCATCCTCCTCCCAGTGCTTGTGGCAGTCATGTACTGCTGACATTTCTACAGTAAATCAGAGCCTGGAGTGATCTCAGTTCAGCAGCTTTTATGGAATAGAAAAAAATTACCTCAGAACTATTCTGAGAACCACAGAATGGTTTGGGTTGGAAGGATCTTAGGAACCATCCAGTTCTAATCTCCCTGCCACCGGCAGGAATGTCACTCCCTAGACCTGACTGCTCAGGACCCCATCCAACCTGGCCTCAAACACTTCCAGGGCTGGGGCATCCACAACTCTGGGTAACCTGTGCCAGTAACCACCCTTGGCTAAGAATTGCTTTCTAACATCTGGTCTGAACCTTCTCTTTTCCAGTTTAAAACCACTGCCTGTTGTCCTATAACTATCTGCCCACATAAAGCTCCCTCTCCCTCTCTTTTATAAGCCCCCTAAAGGTACAGGAAGGTCTCCCCAAAGCCTCTTCTCCATGCTGAACAACCTCAGGAGCTCTTTTCTTCTGGGAAACTACTACCACCCTCTACATTTAAATATTAGTTTCTTTTAAGGTTGTTAAGAGGTTTTTTTTTTTTTTGTTTTTTTTTTTTTAATTTAGCATTGATGATACAAAACTAGGCTGGATTTAAACAAGAACTATTCTAGAAGCTGCCCACTGGACAGTGAGCTGTGCTGTGATACAGCTTGCCAGACAGAAATACAAAAAACTACTTGGTTCTGGTATCTGGTGACAGTTTGCTAACTGCACTAATGTGCAAAGAAACAGATGCATCAATCAGCAGTTTCGTCCATACATCATAAATGTATAGCCATCCTATTCATCTGAAACAAAACCTTGTAATTTCCTCATCAGCATGACAAGTAACTGCGTGTGAAAGATTCCTGCCAAGTTTTGGTCAAAACAGAATTTATTTTAAAGTAAATGTATCCTACCACATTTATTTTAGCTGTAAGGGATAATCTCTGTCACTGGCATCATGCAGACTGAGATCAATCCAGTAACTTACACCATCACAAGTGAAAATCTGACAAAGCCAAATGAAATCAAGAACACATGGGAGGTGCTGGTGCAAACCAGCTGAGCTGCTGAGCTGCTCTACTCACCTGAAACTCTGACTGAAACTCCATGACTTTTTGGGAACATTCCCCTCTGGTATAAGCAGAGACTGGGTAGCCAGCTGTGAGAGGCTGCCTACGGGGTGATGGGCTTGCATTCAAATTTGTTGTGATTTGTTATTTCTAGAAAACTCCAGGGCTCTTCAGGATTTCAACACTGCTCATCCCCAGGAAGACTGATCACCCTTTTGTAGGCTTAGAACAACCCAGACTGCTAAAGTGCATCCTCAGAAATTAATACTATTTTGTTCTATCAAAAAACAGGTGGATCTAGAAAGAATAACTTCAACCAAAAACACGCACAAAAAACCTTTCAGATGTATGCCACAGTTGGCATAAACTGTTACATTGTTCAGGCAATTAGAAGTCCTTATGGTTCCATGAATCCCTAGGTACTTTCTGGTATTTAAAAATTACAGGAATGTCCAATAGTACTTTTTATTTCTTTACCTGTTAATTGATATCATATTTTTGAAATAACCATGCTTTGAATCTGATCTCCCTCCTCAAAAGCTGTCCAGTGACCAAGGAGATACAGCTCCCTCTCCCCCACAACATCCACACTCCCTCTACAGCTCAGGACTTAATTTCCCCTCCATAAGAGCTGAACTCTAGTACTGAAATGTAGGACGTTGGCATTTTTAATTAAGAAGTAAATGAGAGAAATACTGTCCTAAAAGCACTTAGAAAAATAAAAATCAGAACTTTCCATTTTTATTCATATTTCTGAAGTAATGCTATCAAAGAAGGCATTAATTCCATTCTTTTTTTTTTAACATTAAAGCTGAGAAAGTCTTATCCATGCTTGAGGCACTGAAAAGTTGAAAAATGCTGCTATGTAAAAAAAAACCTAGTAGACACTTTGAAATGCAGCAGTAAAGCTCAAAATGGACAAGGACAGTATCAACTTAAAACTTATGAAATCCACAGCTGCCATTTGCTTGGGAAGCAGAAGACACCTATTTCTGCAGACACTACCTACTCCCTTCTGGTCACACAGAGAATGATGTGTTTCACATCTGCTGAATTTGCTTCAGAGACTCTGATGGAATCAAGGCCCATGGGTGTGGGCACAGGAACAGAATACCAATCTTATACTACAGCTTGTCAGAAAAATAAATGTGCAACATTCAGACTTGAAAGACTGGATTGAAAGTAAATTGAGAAATCCCAACACAATACAGGGCCTTTTCTAGCAGAAGAGATTTCTATCCCTTTCCTGACAAAAGAAAAATCCTTCCTGCTGGTGACTTGGGTTTTGATCCCCTTATTAATATTGAGTATTGCCACAAAATCCATGGCATTACACACAAAGACAATACCAAATGTGAGTAATGGAATCAAAACCTGGCCAGGTGGGTTTTAAACCACAGGTTCTGCCTTTGCACGTACAGACTCACACCTAAAGCAGAAGCTGTTCTATCTATACCTTAGCTCATATCCTTCATAAGCAGGTGGACAATTGTATTTTATATTCAGCTCTCCAAGTTACTGAGGTCCCTCTGGAACCATTAGTGAGCACAGGCTCAGCCAGAGAGTGCAGAGCAGTTCACTGAAGTCAATTTTTTAGGGTTAAACTGCTGGAATCAGATCACGTAGAACATGCCAATTTTTTTTTTTTTTGTTAATTACTTGTATTGAGTATGCTCTCTGCAGAAGAAGCTTTTTTTGAGTAATATGCATAAATATGAATGAGGATAGTGGAAATCAATGACCTGTTTTTGCTAAATGGGAGAATAGTTCTCAGAGAATATGAGCTGCGAACAAGGAGGGCTCAATGTGAAGCATTTCCCATTAAATTTCTGGATTTGTACAGTCTGCTGATGCCATCTCAAGCACCCATTTTTGATCCATATGAGAGGACTTGCCATTCAAGGACAGACTTAATTTGCACCAAAGGTCTCACACCTTGAAGCAGCTGAACCTGCCCCACCACCTACAGCCAAAGCAGAGAACCTCTGTGTTTCAAGACACACATCAGGACAAATCCTGGCTTTCCCTGGCGCCTGTCAGTGACTGGGGGTTCACAGCAGCTCTGTTAAGAATGTTTTTTCCACCAGCCCCTCCCTCTGTAGCAGCAGAAGTTTGCAAACCAGGTTACCCTTCAATTCCTGCCTCATCCACACCGAGCGTCTTCTGTGCAGGAAAGGTCATTTCACAGCCACTGCAACTGCACTCAGGCAGCCTCTGAATATTTTATCTTTAATAATA